AGTACCGGCAGGAGATTCTGCGGATAGGGCATGATGTTCCTTTAGCTGGACATCTAGGGTCCCACCGCACAGCCTATAGGATTTCACAGAACTTCTTTTGGCCAAACTTTAACCAGGCTGTGCGGATGTACTGCAGCACGTGTGACATGTCAACGGGTAGGAAAGCGGGGGGACCACCCTAAGGCTAGGCTATTATCGATGCCTATTATAGGGGAGCCCTTTGCCCGCATAGCCGTTGACATTGTGGGTCCACTGGCCAGGGCTAGTCCATCCGGTAAGAAGTATGTTCTTACCATGGTGGACTATGCCACCCGCTATCCAGAGGCAGTAGCGCTGTCTAACATAGAGGCAGAGACGGTTGCTGATGCCCTGGTTAGAATTTTTACTAGGGTCGGGTTCCCTAAGGAGATCCTCTCCGACCAGGGAACCCAATTCACCGCTGTGCTCACCCAGCAGCTGTGGAAGGTGTGTGGCATTAAGCCGTTACTTAGCTCACCCTACCACCCACAGACTAACGGTCTCTGCGAGCGCTTTAACGGCACCCTCAAACAGATGCTGAGGACCTTTACAGACGCTTGCAGAGACTGGGAGAGATTCCTGCCTCATCTATTATTTTCTTATAGAGAGGTGCCCCAGGAATCTACTGGGTTCTCCCCCTTTGAGCTGCTGTATGGGAGAAGGGTCCGCGGACCCCTAGATCTCATTAGAGGCCACTGGGAGGGGGAGGGGGAGCAGGAAGGGACCCCCATAGTGCCATATGTTCTGGAACTCAGGGACCGCATGGAGAAACTGTCCCTGATGGTAAGGGAGAATCTCCAGGCGGCCCAGGGGAGACAGAAGAGATGGTAAGATCAGGGTGCCCGACAGCGGGTCTTCCAGGTTGGGCAAAAGGTATTGGTGCTTAAACCTGTGAAGGCCAACAAGATGCAAGCATCTTGGCAGGGCCCGTACAAGGTAGTGGCACAGATCTGCGACACTACTTACTTGATAGCCAGCTGTGCAGATGAGAGGATCCAGCGGTCCTTTCATGTGAACATGCTGAAAGAGTACCAGGAGAGACCTGAGAACATTGCAGCAGTGTGTGCCCCAGCTGCAGATGATTCTGAGAATTTACCCCTTCCAGATCTATTAGAAAGGGATTCCCAGACTGACCTTACTACCTTGGTACAGCTAGGGGACCGGTTGAACCCCACAGAAAGGGTACAGGCGCAGCAGTTGTTATGGGAGAAGCAGGCGACGTTCTCCCAGGAACCCGGTTATACCACCCTAGCTGTGCATAAGGTAGAGACCCCTGGACAGACCCCGTTACGACAGCCCCCCTACCGTATCCCTGAAGCAGTCCGTGAAGGAATGCGGAAGGAGATACAGGAGATGACCCAACTTGGGGTTATCGAACACTCCGACAGCCCTTGGGCCTCGCCTGTAGTCCTGGTGCCAAAGAAAGATGGGACCACCCGGTTCTGTGTGGACTACAGGCGACTCAACGAGCGGACCACCACTGATGCCTACCCAATGCCCCGGGTAGACGAATTACTGGATCGTATTGCCAGGGGGCGATATCTGACCACCATAGACCTGTGTAAGGGCTACTGGCAGATCCCCTGGCCGAGGATGCTATCCCAAGTCGGCATTTGTCACCCCATTTGGCCTGTACCAATTTAAGGTCATGCCTTTTGGGATGAAAAATGCACCGGCTACCTTCCAACGGATGGTGGATAGACTCCTGGATGGCTTCCAAGAATTTGCCTGTGCATACTTGGACGACATTGCGATCTACAGTGGGTCCTGGGAGGAACACCTGGTACATGTAGGGGTAGTGCTGGATAAGATTAGGGCCGCTGGCCTGACGTTGAAGCCAGAAAAGTGTCATCTAGGTATGGCTGAAGCGCAGTACCTGGGTCACAGAGTGGGGTGTGGGAGCCAGAGACCGGAGCCAGCCAAGGTAGAGGCAGTGGCTAACTGGCCCACACCTACTACTAAGACCCAGGTATTGGCCGTCTTGGGGACGGCAGGGTACTACAGACGTTTTGTCCCTGACTACAGCGCTATCGCTAAGCCCCTGACAGACCTGACGAAGAAGAACTTGCCTAAGCAGGTCCTGTGGTCTCCGGCTTGTGAAGCTGCGTTCCAGGCACTGAAGCAGGCTCTTGTGAATGCCCCTGTCTTGGCTGCCCCAGTCCCTAACAACCGCTTTCTCGTCCATACAGATGCTTCCATGTATGGACTGGGGGCTGTGCTGAGCCAAGTCGGGGAAGATGGAGGAGAGCACCCTGTCGCATATCTCAGCAGAAAGTTGTTACCCAGAGAAGTGAGTTATGCGGCCGTGGAGAAGGAATGCTTGGCCTTGGTCTGGGCATTGAAAAAGTTAAGCCCCTATTTGTATGGGCAAGAGTTTTCCCTTGTGACTGATCACAACCCACTCGTTTGGCTTAACCGGGTCTCAGGAGACAATGGGAGACTGCTGAGATGGAGCTTGGCACTACAGCCCTACAATTTTACCATCAGCTACAGACCAGTAAAGCTAGCGGAAGCATAGATGGGTTATCCACGACAAACAGGCGTTTCCATCACCTGCGTAGTCGGTCATCCCCAAGTTGACCATACAGAAAAAGAGGTCAAGAAGCCCGGGTCTGCAGTGTCCCACAAGGGAGGGCTTACCCGTGTGACAGAACCATCTGTCTGCTGGATTTTTGCCGTTCGTCTGTTTGTCCCCGTTCGTTTGAATGGCTGGTTTCTATAGCCCAGCCATTCGAATGACTCTTTTTTCCCGAACAAATCTGCCGAACGAACGGCCACCCAAGTGAGGAGTGTGCTGCAGGTTAACGAAGTGATCACCATTATAACGTTGTGGTTAACCGCAGACACTTCTCAATTAAACCGAACTCAGGGTGGTCGTCGTTCGTATGTCGACCACGAGGCAGCGGCCATTTTAAATCATGCGAATGCTCAGCGGTGTTTGGCTCTATTTCTATGGAACGGAAAACGGACACTTTTCTGTCGAACACCGCTGAAACAAGGGAACGCCTGGCTGCCTCCACGAAAGCATGCGAACATCGGCCGTTCGGGAGATTGAGAACACACAAAGGACTTAACCCAGATAGCCCACCCATGGAGTCATTCGTGTACCGAAGGACTGTAAGAACTTGGACTCCATGGCGATTGAACTATGTGTGTGGGATCTGAGCGCTATTCGCCAATAATATGCACTCAGATCCAGGCTATCTGGGGACATGTAATACGAATGGGAAATGTTCAGTTTTCATGTAGTTATGCATTTTTGTGTCTTTTATTATTTCATGTTTAAGATGGCGACTGCCCTTGTCCTGGAGTTAATTGAGTTACTTGGTAATTAACTCCAGGACAGAGGGGAGGGAATCAGAATGTACTATGGGTAAAATATGTGACTGTGTGTCAGAAATGTCCTGCTATCTGTCTGTACTTTAAGTCTTCCATTTGGTCCCCTAGGGGAGTGTCCACCAGGTGGGAGACCTGCATAAATACGGGCAGGTAGCCCACAGTAAACACAGATCTTATTTGACCCTCAATGCGGAGCTTCTGTCTCGTTATTGGGGGGATTTCTTCTTCACGTTTAGAGACTGCTGGATGGAACGAAAGCCGCTTTGGGGATATTATTGTTCGACGGTTCCTAGCAGTTCGTATATTGCCGTTAGGGAGTTTGGAGCCGTTCGTGGATTTCGATCGGGAGATTGCCGCTTCCCCTGCATTTGGTTCGTGGGTTACAGAGTAATCGAACAGAGACTGTACTGCAGCCGGGGAAGGTTTACTAAACGGCGGTTTGGCTTAAAGACACGGGAGGTGTCTTAACACTGGCTACCTTGGTCATTGGTAGATTGCTAAAAACACACCTATATACATCTCAAATTATGAAAGAGGAGCAAGTTTGAATTAGAGGTGAGGACGTATGGGAACTGGGTTTTTCTGCAACATTTTATGTAATTTTTGATAATGTGCTGATGTTATTCTATTACCTAAAAAAACATTTAGAATGCATCAAAAATCTTTATTTTTTTTATTTTATTTATTTCCCCATATGGCAGAAAGGACAGACAAGGGGATTTGCATCCCATGGTGTATGTAACTATGGGGGGGGGAATAGATTTGAAAACTATAGTAGCAGTTCCTTAATTCTGAGAGGACTATACTGTGATTTGTTCTGCAGTCTGTCTTAGCTATTTCTCAGTTTAACCTTAGTGGCACATACTACATGGACATGGAATAAAATAAAGTTCAGACAAGGTTAATTAAATAGTGCATGATCTGTATAAAAGGTGAGCTCTCTATTCATCTTTCTCTCTATACAGTGTCTTCTGCAAATGCAACCTGTGCCAGTGATGAAATAGCGGACAGCACAAATACTACCTGCAACTGTATTGCATCAAAATACAACTCATCAGGTATAGTAGACCAGTGAATACATACTGTACATTTCAATATTCTGTGATCTCATATGATGGCCATTAAACCATTAAAGTATTCATGATAACAATTGGTTGGACATTTAGTTTTGATTCATATACTAGAAGATGAAAATCTGAAATGAATTAATACACAGCCTAACTCACTGTATAGTGAACATGGGCTGTGTTTTAGCATACGCTGAACAAAAAGACCATACATACGCAATCTGTGGCTCAGCTGTCTCTCCTATTGTATGTGAGAGCGCTGAATACATAATAGGGACACGTTTAACACTGGCAACCTGAAAGAATTTTCCAGGCTGCCTTATTGACAACCCCAGAGGGCTGTTTTATATTGGCAGTGATTTTTACAAGTCACTGCTACTATGACCCACTCTTAGCAATAAGAGTGGATAAAAAGTGCTTATGGTTCTTAAACCAGATCTTTAAGAACAAAACAATCCGATATAACTATGCAAATAGTGTTTTAAATGATCAAACTGTCGTGAAAACCACCTACTTTTCTTGTTGTGGGAAAGGAAAATTACAGATCTTGACTTTAACCCCTCAAATATTTTTTAGTGACTCCACCATTACCAATCCTTCAGTGCACTGGGGGAAGCATGAAGATATCCATATCTAAATGTCAACTGGAAATTAGTCAATTTAACTCTTCCAATTTACATTTGAATAACTCAACTGATGTCAACTGCTCAGCAACATATGAGATTATTAATGGTACTTCCCAAGTTGTTTTTATATCACCGTTGAAAACTGGCTCCTGTGGTAATGTAGTAACAGTAAGTACACAACTAATAAAATATGTGTTTAAAACTGCATGGATAATAAGAACAGATTATCTATATCAAAAATAAATTGTTACAGTACCTCCAGTAGTAAATGCACAAACCGCCGTTTAGTGAATGCTCCCCTTTCACAATAATGGTGTCTGGTAGCGTATGCAATACAACCATGCGAACCGCCAACCAGGGAACACTCCAAACTCCCGAACGGGTTCACGAACTGCCAATATCAGCCGAACGCCAATATCTTCCAAGCGGCAAATAATTCCAAAGAGCAGTCTCTAGTCGCCGGTAATAAAATCCCCCCAATAACGAGACCAAGCTCCGCTTTGAGGGTAAAACATGAACTGAGTTTACTGTGGGCTACCTGCCCGTATTTATGCAGGTCTCCCACTTGGTGGACACTCCCCTAGGGGACCAAATGGGAGACTGGAATAGCAGATGGACATTGGGACATTTCAGACATACAATCACACAATATTCCCCGCATGCATCACAGTTTCCTCCCCTCTGCTCGGGAGATAATTGAAAAGTAATTCAATTATCTCCCAGAGCAGAAGCAAATCGCCATTTTAACCCCTTAAGGACCAAGCTTCTGGAATAAAATGGAATCATGACATGTCAGACATGTCATGTGTCCTTAAGGGGTTAAATACAAGTCACAAAACACATAAAAATATATAACTTTATAACTGCCGAACATATTACATTCGTGTAACACATCCCCAGATAGCCTGGATCTGAGTGCATATTATTGGCAAATAGCGCTCAGATCCCATACGCACAGTTCAATCGCCATGGAGTCAGTCTATTACAGTTCTTCGGTATGCAATTGACTCCATGGGAAGGCTATCTGGGGTAAGTCCATTCGTGCTTTTACATCTCCCGAACGGCCGGTGTTCGCACACTTCTGACGATTGAGAAGGGAGGTCGACGGCTTCAGCGGTGTTCGGTTTAAAAAGTGTCCGTTTTCAATTCCATGAAATAACCGTCGAACACCGCTGGTCTTTCGCATGGTTAAAATGGCCGCCGCCTTGTTGTCGACATACGAACGATGACCACCCTGTATTCGGTTTTAATTGAGAAGTGTCTGTGGTTAACCGCAACGTTCTAATTGGGATCAATAGGTTAACCAGCAGCACACTTCTCTTCTGGGTGGCCGTCCGTTTGGCAGTTCCGTTCGACAGAAAAGTACATTCCCTTAAACAAGGTGTGAAGAAATGACTCCGTTAATCAGGATTTCTACCTTTCGGATGGATTCAGACGAATTCCCTGTGTAAAATATAGGTGGCCGCCATTTCGGCACTTTACACGTGGCCGCAGCCATTTTACGTGCGAACAGCGGTGTTTGCCCGTCAACGCGTGGAACTAAAATCGGATACGCAAACAGGCGAACACCGCTGAGACCTCCATACATCCAGAACTTCGCACGAGAACAACCGAATCACCGGCCGTTCGGTAGTTACATGCAACTTCATATGGGGATTTCAACGATCCCAAAGATGCGAATGGATGGCAGGGCTTTCGTCTCTTTTATTCGCCTGAACGGAGACCGACCGCAGGGCCAAAACTTATGGAACTATTTTCGGCTAGATGGTCCGTGCGGTCGGTCAAAACTTTAGTGTTCCATAACTCCCGAACCGTTCATCCGAATGGACTGATTTTTCGATATGTTGTCCACACAAATGAGAACTATCCAGCGGTACCAGATTTAAAGGTGTACCCCCTGTTTTGGGGTACATCCAGAACTGGGGTAAAATAGTGCACGTTTTAATTAAGTTAACTGTTTATCAGAGGGGAGGGAGGTATGGGCTGTAACCTATTCCTGATTGGTGATTTAATGCCTCCCCCTGGGTGTGTATTTCTTGTCTGTAACCGTAATAAAAAGCAGGCTGGAGATTCCAGACCTCAGATCTACTTGTAACCTGATTCTGGACTCTGACTGTTATTTGGGAATTCGTATGCTTTACCAAGGATTATCTTGGGAAGCTGTTATATTTCTTATGGACTTCATTGCTTAGAACTACCTTAGACGCTGGCATTGCAGGAGGAATTATCAAAGCAGTTCAGCTATACTTGATTTCCTTACAACTGGTGGCAAGCGGAGGGATTCGAACCCCAAATGGACATTTCAAAACAAGCAAAGGAATGAATGGCTCAGCAGTACCAGCTACTTAAAAGAACCACGCTAAAGGACTTACTGGAAGCTCGAGGCAGAGTGGCAAGTAACAAAACAAAAGCCACGATAATTGCGGAGTTAATGCAGAGCGATAATACCAGTAATATAGAGATGGACCAAGAGGAAGAAACCGTGATGCAAAAGGACATCCGATGGACACTCAGTTTATTGGGACCCAATCCATCCTCAGAGGCGATACTGCAGGTCGTAGCACAAGCCAGACAAGCGCAAAAAGAGCGAGATGACCGGGACAGAGCGTCACAGGGGGATTTGCTACACCCCCCGAGAAGTATTGGGGAAATACCAAAGAAGGTAAATTATGCAGCGTTTAAATCATTTGTTGACAATGAAATGGAAATTGACAGTTACTTGCAAGACTTTGAACGTCAGTGTGCACTGGAGGGATTAGACTCCACCAAATGGGCTGCAGTCGTCAGCAGTAAATTGTCAGGTAGAGCAGCCGAGGCGCTGCGAGCAGTACCTGAGGGGGACATACATAATTATGAGAAAATAAAAGACATTTTGTTGGCCAGATATGCGGTAACTCCGGAGGCATACCGGAAAAAGTTTAGAGACCTGAGAAAGACTGGGAGAGATTCCCATACGGAATGGGCTTTTCGCCTGCAGCGGGCAGCCCGCAATTGGATGAAGGGCTGCCAGGCAACCACCCTAGAAGAGGCTTTACAACTAGTGATACTGGAGCAATTTTTTAATCATACTGCAGAGGACATAAAAGACTGGGTAAAAGATAGGAAACCAAAAACCGTGGAGGAGGCCGCTAGGCTAGCGGACGAGTACCAGGATAACAGGAGGAAAGAGCAAGGGGCGAGCAGACCACCATTTAAGCCTCAGTACACAGCTCCAACCAACCCGGCTCCACCTAGACCTGCCATAGGTAACCCCCCACCGAACCCAGCAAACACACCTCGACCTCCTGCAGTGTGTCACTACTGCAAGCAACCAGGACATTACAAGTATCAGTGCCCTCGCTTAAACCGGGGAAGCTGGGAACGGCCAGCCCCACAACAACCCAGGGCAGCTGCTCACTGTGTGCAACAGGATCACACAGGCCCTGGCCTTAACCACGAAGAACAGTGGAGTGTATTACATGAGGTCAATCCAGTACAAGCTGGGGGGGACAACCGGGACCATCACCGCCAATGGATTACCGTCGATGGCGTGGGGGCCCGGGCGCTGAGAGACTCTGGGGCTACTTTGACTGTGGTACAGCCCCACACGGTCAGAGCACAAGCTCGCACCGGACGCACAGTCGCTGTAAGGGTGGCTGGGGGCGCTATTCACAAACTGCCCACCGCTAATATGTTTGTTGATTGGGGTTCCGGGTCTAAACAACTGGAGGTGGGGATTATGCAAGAACTGCCCGCCGAGGTTTTGTTGGGAAATGATGTGGGATGCCTAACCTCCCAACTAGCCCGAGACCCCCCTGCCGAGGCCTACCCGGTTACCACCCGAGCTCAAGCCAGACTGGAAGCTCCGCTGCACTCTGAGGAAAACCAGGTAAGAGTCGAAATACCCCCTTTACCCGATCCCCCCGTACCCTTCTGGGATACCCCCCAGGGGTTTGAACAGGAACAGCGTACTGACCCCACATTAGAAGGCTATAGGAAGGCCGCGGCCGCTACCCCCGAGAACAACCCGCACGAAAAATTTGAGTGGTATAAGGGGTTGCTATATAGGGTAACCGAGGGGGTGGGACAGGGGGCTACCCAGGTCATAAAAAGACAGTTAGTTGTGCCCCGTAAATTTCGGGCTGAGTTGTTAAAACTCAGTCATGACATTCCCCTAGCAGGACATTTAGGGGTCAAAAAGACCAGAGACAGGTTAACTCAAACCTTCTTCTGGCCCAGAGCTACCCAGGACCTAAAGTACTATTGTAGGACATGTGATGTATGCCAAAGGGTAGGAAAAAGGGGAGACCTTCGGAAGGCTAAGCTTCACCCCCTACCCATCATCGAACAGCCCTTCCACCGAGTAGCGGTGGATTTAATAGGTCCCCTCAGTCGCCCCAGTCCGTCGGGCAAAAAGTTTATCCTAACGGTGGTTGACTACGCCACTAGATACCCGGAGGCAGTCGCCCTCACCAATATAGAGGCCGAGACCGTGGCAGAGGCCCTTATTCAGATATTCACCCGAGTAGGTTTCCCGCAGGAGATACTCTCCGATCGGGGGACGCAGTTCACAGCCACCCTGACGCAACAACTGTGGCAGAGCTGTGGAGTGCAGCCCCTGTTCAGCGCCCCGTATCATCCCCAGACTAACGGGCTCTGTGAACGTTTCAATGGCACTCTAAAACAGATGCTAAAAACTTTTACAGAGTCCCACAAGAATTGGGAAAAATTCCTCCCCCACCTTCTGTTTGCCTACCGTGAGGTGCCCCAGGCCTCCACTGGGTTTTCCCCCTTCGAACTCCTGTACGGGAGAAAAGTTCGGGGCCCACTGGAGCTCGTACGGGAACACTGGGAGGGCAATACAGATGAGGGGGGAGTCCCTATCGTCCAGTATGTCCTGGAGTTCCGGGACCGTCTGCGGGCCCTCACCGAATCGGTTCGGGAGAACCTGCAGGCGGCCCAGGAGGACCAGAAAAAGTGGTACGATAGGAGGGCCCAGGATAGAGTGCTGGACTTAGGGCAGAAGGTACTGGCTCTGAGGCCCGTTAAAAAGGACAAGCTTCAAGCAGCCTGGCAGGGACCCTTTAAGGTAGTGGAACAGGTTAGCGAGACTACCTACATCGTGAGCAAATGCTCAGATGAAAGGCTGACCAAAGCCTTCCATGTGAACATGCTCAAACCATATTTTG